TGATTAGACTAGATAAACTGAGTACATCAGTACGTCAGCGTTACTGACGTACTGTTGCTACAGTACCTGTTTTTGTGAGTGGTCCTTGAGTGAGTCCAACAATGTTATCCTCCCATCTGCAGCTTTAGTTTTTGGCATGAGGACACCATAATAGATTTCACCTTAAGCCTGTTCCATGTGTGTTGTGTGCCGTGGATAACTCAAGCTGTCAGACCAACACTCATAAAGTAACAATCGAAAAGAAAGGCAAGGAGAGTCAGATGTACTTGTAGGAAATACAGATGTACCACACAAAACACAGAAGCATCGCAAATCCATGAAAAAAGCCTTTCTCAGAGCACTTCTAACCTTTGTTAAAGAAAAAGGTATTTTTTGGATTAAAAAAAAAAATTCTGGGAGATTCTGGGTCTTCATTCTGGGAAATTAAAACTTCCTGAGTTGTTTCTGTCATCTCTGAAGTTGACGGCATAATAAACAGCCAAATCTCCATGTGGTGTGAGGATATATATCTAGTGTAGTTAACCCACTGTAAGTTAACATTATACTGCAAAACAAGTTCAAACCCAAATGTCAAAATAAACCAACAGTAACCGTCATGACTAATGTGCATTGTGGGCAACACAATTCATGATAAATATATTGAAGAACAAGTGAGTGATTTTGATTCTGTTGATGCAAACAGAGAAGGCTTTGCTGGCCTCGAGGTGACAGCACTGCATTTTATGAAGTGATTATTTGTGGTTATTCTAATGCAAACAGAAACATGTATTCACACAGTGGTCTTTACACAATGTTTTGTCTCATGCCACATGTCAAAGCTTTTTTAAGCAACTAAATCATAAACTAGTACATCGGCTTTGCAGTGTTCATTTTATTATGTTTTGATTGATTTCACATAAAATGTGTAGTTGTGTCATCTGTTGTACAAACCGTGTGAGTGATGAAGGCAGAATGGGGTCATGGAGTAAATGACTGACATTTTATCACACCGTGGATTGAGACTAAAATCCAGGTTTCATTTCCCCCACTGTGTGCAGTGCCTGTGATACTGAAATTGACTATGAAGTTAGACCCAGTTTTTTCATTTTGTGTTTGACAAGATGTTATATGCAGCCACATATTCAAAATGAATAAATCAAAAATATTGATTTACATAACCTTCTAAATTCCATATCTTTATTTTTAACATCCTGTGTGTATACGTGTTGTATTGGTGAGCATTGGTGTGAATTTCCACCCATGATGACACACCGTACAGTGTAGCAGTATGAGACCAGGGGCTATGTAGCTGTGTGGTAATGAGTGTAACTAGGACCCTCGTGCTGCTGTTAGATGCCGTTGGACGTTTGTGTAAACATGTCATGACGTGATTCTGTAACAAAATGATGTGATTGAAATATAAAGTTAGAATGAATAGAACAGGGGTCACCATCTATATCTGTCAAAGGACCAGAATGGACAGACACTAAAGGCATATTTAGTGTCTAAACATTTTTGTCTATTGCTGTATAAACAGAGTAGAGCTATCAGAATATTCAAATGACATTTCATCAACGTTCTGCTTGGCATTGTTTACAAGATCGCAGTAGGCAGCGCAGCAGCAGAGCAGGGAAACTCATCCAAACTTATAAAGCGTTGTGTGGAAAGTGTTTGGATTGCCATCAAAATAACATCAAGAGAAACCGTCATTTGGAAGTTATGCAAGGCATCATCACTAGCACAAAGCTACATGCATTGCTCTGAGTACGCAGGACTGTGAGCAGGAGATAAAGGTTCAAGCAGACAAGAATAACCCTCACTTCATCTCAGGGCCTGCCAGCTGCTCGCCAGGAGGCAATAACAATATTATAATTATATAGGGATATTATATAATAAGTATATAATAATGTATTTGTATCAAAATATTATACATTTCTAGTTATAACAACTTATAATGTTTCGATTTTTAAAGATTGAGGGCATAAAATCGGAACTTTCTGCTCCATTCATAGTTGAATTAGTATAAAATGACCAAGAGCATGTTCTTCTGAAACTAAGTGACACAATCTCAGTTTATTCTTTGGGCCACTTTAACAGAATACTCCATTGCAGAAATACATTTTTAACATATAAAATCTTAAACCCTTTTTTAAATGTATTCTCTTCTGTGCTGCTCTATTTTCTTTTGAACTAGCTTAACATTACCCATGCAGAATCTCTCAATAATTAAAATGTGTTACTCAGTGCCCTCAATGCTCGCTCTGTCCCTATCTCTTTTTACATGACTCTCTTTTTCATTTCTCTTTTTCTCTCCCTCTTACTCATTCCTTCTCTCCGTCAGTATGTACTGCATGTATATTTTATGTTTTTACATTATGTGCTGCTCCACATCTTCCTTTTTTTCCCTCACTTGATCCTTTCTATATTATATTGTACCAAGACTATTGAATATCTCACAAATTATTCACTTCAAAATGAAGTAAAGTGTATTTTTTCCTGTTGTCAGGAGCCAGTCCTGTCCTTCAACAATGTAAAAACTCTAGTTTTTAGTCGTGTGTCGTTAGCTTGGAAGTGCATTACAGTAACGTAACAGTAATGGTATCATAGTAATGGTAGTAATATATCACTTAATGTAGCGCTCATTTGGGCCATTGATGGACTTGCCAACTGTCCAGGGTGTACCCCGCCCTTGCTTGTTGACCGCCCCTGGAGAACATGCACAGGAGTGAGCAGCAGATGATGGATGGATGGTAACTCAGCAGGGTTAACCTCAGGGGAGGCACCACCAAGTTACTCAAACTGACAAACCGAATGCTTCACACACCCTTATCCAGTTGAACATACACAGTTGAACTGACATTTAGCATCACTGGAGCTGTGTCATGTTTCTTTTCTTTAGATTGGCAGGTCATGTGGTAAATGAGGAGAGAAATTGTCAGTCAGATGATGAAGAAGGGAGGCTGTATTTAAATAAAACAACAACTGAAAAATGAATGTTCAAGAAAGCGCTCTGTGCCCCTGCATTTGCTGGCGAAAAAAGGGGCATCTCGTCATCTCTTGTTGCCCAGTGCACTTATGAGTTGAAAGAGAAAGTTTGCACTTTGACTTTTTGTAATTGTTGGACTTTTTATTTCAACACAAGAAAAAAAAGTGTTCAGGCAGTGTTTTCATTTATAAAACTTTACACTGGAGAAAACTTTACAATTTCACTTCTGTCAATTGAATGGAATGGGTGTTGGCAAAAATCGGTATCAGCCTGTCACACTTAGTAAGATATTTAAAATCTGAATTGTCAAAAAAATACAACCTGTGCAGCTCTTCATAAATCCATTCAACATTGTTGGGCTGTGAGTTCATCAGGTCAGACGTTTGCTATCAAGGCTTTCAATACAACAAAGGTTTCTACTGGGGTTGTTAAAATGATGCATTCATTGATGTGTTGTATATGTATTTAATAAAGTTGCCCATTCCATTATCTAATCTAATGTTTCTTATTGCACGTTGTTGGGTCCACTGACTGCTGGGGCTTCAGAATCCTCTCAGCGCCCAGCATGTGTTGGTGTGTCAAGGCTTTTAGCTTCATGTCTCACGCCCAGATCATGTCACGTTTGCATTGATCGTCATTGATTATAATTGCATTGCTCATCACGACTACAATTAGGTCAGTGGCTTTTACGTTAATCAGCAGCGGTTATGGCTTTAAAACCCTGGTCCTGCGTTGGATTGCAGACATCCATGCACAAACGTACAATTTCTCATAGACAAGAATGAGCAAGTTACCTGTATATGAACAGCTGGAATCGACTGTTTCAGACCATGAACTACCCTGAATGTTGCAACAACAAAACCCCTCATGCACAGAGAGTGAGATACTTGTATTTCTCCCCCTGCATTATTCAACACGGACATGCGTTTTACATCATCTGATCACAGTTTTTGACTTTATCCCGTCTCTTTGTCTCGTGTCTATCCCTTAGGCAAACTTGAAAAAGTTCATGGAGTACGTACAGCAGAGGAACACTGAAAAGGTTTCAAGGTTCCTGGAAAAGGGCCTGGACCCTAACTTCCATGATCCAGACACAGGGGGTAAGTAAATGCTATACAACATCTTTCGTACAGCTTTGGCTGTTTGAAGTCAACTCCACTAAAGAATATCATATTGTTTTCAGCAGCATTTTGATTACGCTACATGTTCTTGAACTTCACAGAATGTCCTTTAACACTGGCTGCACAGCTGGAGGGATGTGCAGAGCTCATAAAGATGCTGAAGAGCGGAGGGGCTCATCTGGACTTCAGGACAAAAGATGGCATCACTGCCCTGCACAAGGCAGTACGCAGCAAGAACCATACGGCGCTGATAGTGAGTATGTTGCACAGACAGAACCATAACCAGACGCTGACTCAGCCTTTTTTTCCCCCCATTTTTGCTACATCAATTGCCTGATTGTACAAGAGAGATTTTGGGAAGAATAGTAGCTGCTGGTAGTTGGGTGTAGAGTGGATGTCAAACTTTTTTTTTTTTTTACCAATAGTATAATTTAAAGGCCATTGTAAGTAAGCTGTCCAAGCACTTTTTTTAAAAAAAAAAAATAAGCTGCCCAAGCACTTTTTAAAAAAAAAGTTTTCCTCACAAACTTTCACAATATTGTGGGCTTTATTTTTGGGACAAACTACGTCAGAGAATTGACTGCTGATAAATTTAAAATAATGTGTAATTGAATCTTTCTGTGCAAGACTGTGTCGAATGACTATACCTACAGTATACTCAGGTCAGTGTCTGAGCCAGTGCATGCACCAATCTAGTGGCAGGATACTCCATAATGGCTGTATCAAGGAGGTTCACCTTTGACACTAAGCCCAGACAGTGATCTGGCTCTTCACAATGATTTATTATTAATACAACCGCTTCATACTAAAACCAGCTGAGACCCTGTCAGCCATTGTCATGTGGTTTCTTTCTGCCATTCGTCTCATTAACCTCAAGGATATTTCATTTAACTAGGTCAACAATGACAGCAGCTTTAAGTTATTTTTTCATTTATTCTATTGTATTTTATTTATTTTTTTTACATCTGTAAAAATGTTTGTGTTTACAGCTGATTGGCTATTTATTTTTTTTACATCTGTGAGTTATATATGAGCAAGGCTTACTGTAAAATGTGTTTTCTGACAATTATAGCAATCTAACAAATCACCTGAAGACGTGCCGTATCCCTGGGTACAACTAATGTCTCTTCTTAGTTTGACAGAACAGTGGAGAGATGAGAAGTATATACTTTTTTCCCCATTATTTAACCAACCTTGTTTGAATTTGTTTATTGAAATATTGCTACACTCTTTAAGTGGCTTTACTGGACACAGTGATTTCAGTTCATATTGGTGTAAAGCTTACATTAAAAAAAAGAACTTTATTGATCCCATGTTTGGGAAATGTTTGTGTTTACAGCTGATTGGCTGTAAACAAGCTGCCCCCCGCAGGGGCCAAGCATTCCTCTGGGAATCGAACCAAGGACTCTCTTCGAGGCAGGCGTGCTAACTGCTAAACGATGGAACCAACAAGCTGGCTGTTTTTAACTCTGCAGAAAGATTAATTATATTTTTCAAATAGGTTTTTAGGACGATATTTTAACTTACATTTCAATCCTTATTTCCACATTCCACATTTGTCTCATCTAATGCGACAAATGTGTTTTGTGAATTTGGGCGATAGAAATAAAATCAACATGACTTGCTAAGTATACATTTGCACCGTGTTAAGGTTTATGTTGCCAAGTGCAGCGATCCATTGTCCCTGCATGTTCAGTCCCTGAATGTTGAAAAAATGTCATGAAGATACATCACTCCTACAAAGAACTCCTATTTATTATTAAACTATATATTACAGTGTGACGACGAATAAACTTTATGTTGAATTAATTTTTTATAATCAAGGACGCATTTGTTTGTTGTTGTGCCCATTAGACGCTGCTGGACTTGGGTGCGTCACCTGACTATAAAGACAGTCGAGGGTTGACTCCTCTTTACCACAGCTCCATGGTAGGAGGAGACCCGTACTGCTGTGAGCTGCTGCTGCACGATCATGCCCAGGTCGGCTGTTTAGACGAAAATGGCTGGCAGGAAATACATCAGGTACCACACATCCACAGTCCAGCTCAAACAAACACAAAGGAAAAGTTAGGTTACAAAGCTTTTTTTTTTTTTTTTAAATGTAAATTGCTGACCCTGTGCTAACTGAACTGTGCTTCCTTCTTGTTACAAGCTCTAACTAGACCAGGGGTGTCAAGTGGGCTACACCAGTACGATCATAAGACTGAGATTGAGAAGATGTTTTCCCCTGTTGTAAACAAGTTCAAGTATATTAGAAAATATTCATATTTAATGAAATATAATATGACAAAACATCTCTGACATGAAGCGTTTGTGCATTTTTCACTTTCAAAATTCATGGGCTGTATGTTTGATGCTGCTGTGCTGCTGCAGAATAGATTTTGGGTCATACGCCTCCCTGAGGACACTGACTGACTGATAGCCTGTATTTTTTAGCACTGAGGATACTAGAAATCCCCACTAAATTTCAACTAAGTTTGCAGAAACTTAGCTTTAATTTTAGATTTATTGGACAACCAACATGAAGCAAAGCCACTTTGATGTAGAATGACATCAAAATATACATATGGGCTCATTGTTTTATCCTTCCATGAGGCTCAGAAATCCCTGCCTATGACAGGCTTCCAAATCCGTCCTTTCAGCTGCTCACCTGAATATAGAACTAAAATGAATTTGATGACTGATTCAGTCCCAAAGTCAATGTGTGCTGTCAGTCTAAGGTCATATTAGCATTTAGATGAATTACATTTTTCAAGCTTAGAGTGTAAAATATATTGCAGTACTAGCAAACATGTATTTGATATTAATATAGCAAAATATTGATGACACAACATGTAACAAACAGGCCAGTAAACAGAGGGCGTATACCAAACTTACTTTAAATACCTGAACCCAAACTGATATCTGCAAGAATATCAGTATTTAATGTCTTTTTTTTATTATTTTTAAGGATCTGAAATTGGCGGAGACCCAAAATAACAACAAAACAAATTTCCTTTTCATGGAGGTTTTCTAATCATAGATCCTTTTTTTTATTTTCAGGCCTGCCGTTACGGCCATGTTCAACACCTGGAGCATCTGCTGTTCTATGGAGCTGATATGAGTGCTCAGAACGCATCAGGCAACACTGCCCTGCATGTGTGTGCTCTTTACAACCAGGTAATGCTTAGAATTCTTTTAAAACGCGGTGGGACATTTTCTGCCATGTTTTGCCGTATTGCATTTGGCAAGAAAACTAAGGACTAGTGATGAAAGTGTGAACAGACATATGTTATTTTTTTCCATTTTATTGCAAAAAATAAAACTTGGAACATGTTATTTTTGTTTTTATCTGTGTGGCTGGGAAATAAGCCCAGTGCTTTGTTGGAACATGACCCCAGAAAGACACAGTGGTGGGTGCCAACCCGGCTGTCAGTCACTGATTTTAAATCATCGCTAAAAAGAAATGGTGTGAGAATAGGTGTCTCCAAACAGAGTGATTTTAAATCATCGCTAAAAAAAAATGGTGTGAGAATAGGTGTCTCCAAATCATTATTATTATTTTTATATTTTTATATTATTATTTTTACAGTATTATTTTGCAACCCTAATGCTCTGATTTCAGTCGTCATAGTGAATCAGGAATCAAGGGAAAAAATAAATGGTAAATAGGTTTATATTTAAAAACGGTTAATTAATTATAACATGGCAATTTCTTTATGTACAGAACAGACAATACGTTGGTCAGAACTGCACAGCGGGTAAACGTGTTCACTCACTGCCCAGGAGGAGGAAGGGGTTACTGAAGCTGCTGGTACTTTGCAGGGACACTCCAGGCTGTCATCAGACCTTTTGCTTGAAGTGGAAATTGTGACTGTAGCAGCAGGCACTGAGAATTGGGAAAGCTCTGTGTACAGAATTTATGGGACATTGGTGTTGTAAGCTGAGCTGAAATCCACTTACAGGATGTGTCTGTCTCTGTAGAGTCTAGTTGGTGCGTGATGTGATGTCAGCTCATCATCTGTCAATCTGTAGACAAACTACAGGGGGTCCAGTAGGTGGACTGGAACAAAACACTACTTTCTCAAAGAACGTCGTGATCACTGACATCAGGGAGATAGTCTTGTAGTCACTCGGTTCAATAATGTGGGTTTTCGTGGGGATCGGAGTGATGGTGGTTCAGAGCATGTTGGGACTTCACACAGCACACGGGCCTGTTTCTGCTGTGGCTTCGTTTCTCCAGACCAACAGACAAACCAGCACTATCTTCAAGTTGACCACATTTCTCATGTGTCTAGAGTACGCTGCTTTGTCTTAATTAGATTCAGAATTAACCTGACTTTTTGGTGCCAGCTTCTTGTTTCCCAGCTTCCATCCTTCCACCCTTCCTTCCACCCTTCCTTCCTTCCCCCCTTCCTTCCTTCCTTCCTTCCGCCCTTCCTTCCTTCCACCCTTCCTTCCTTCCCCCCTTCCTTCCTTCCACCCTTCCTTCCTTCCCCCCTTCCTTCCTTCCACCCTTCCTTCCTTCCCCCCTTCCTTCCTTCCTTACACCCTTCCACCCGTCCTTCCTTCCTTTCTTCCTTCTACCCTTCCTTCCTTCGTAAAAATAACAAAGTGCTGCAAAGTAAAAAGAAGAAAAGGACTGTGGATTATTCAATCCTTTTTCATGGTGAATACCTACAGGAGACTCTTGAGAGAGAAGCTGAGCAGCAGATGGCCATCTTTGCTTGGCTGTTTACCTTTGCATTTGATTGTCAAGTTAAAAAAACACCCATAGTGCTTCAGAATATCTTTTCTTCCCATTTAACCAGATGCATACACAGTTGGCCGTGACAGAGAAATGGTTCTGTTTGTGTTTTTATCTATTGTTTGTGTATTTCTGCTGTGCAAAACATCACAGAATCTGTTTTTAATTAGAATTTAGCTGACTGTAAATCTGTAGCCATATTATGTGAGCTGTTTTAATATAGGTGTAAGGAAAATACTGAAATGGCAGATCTTCTGTATCACTGTGAACAATATTCTATATAAACTATATACATATGTGTTGCTGGTTACCACAACAATGCGACTAACTATGGAGCACGGCATGTCCGTGATCATTCAGCTCCCTGTGTTGAATGCTGTATTGATCCCAAGCCAGTACATGCAGTCATGACCATGTCAATCAGTCCATGTTCAGGCTAGTTTCTCCCAGAGGCAGGACTATTTGTTTGCACTAATACAAACATATCCTTTGGCTTTGTTGTGACACACTAGAGGAAAAGTTAGTGGTCAGTCACCAGTGGTGCCGTTCTTGTGGCATGTTGATTTCTCTCTTGTCAGATATAAAGAAAACAAAGACGTTGATCCAAATGTGTTTTTCTCTCAGCTTACATTTGTTTCACAATCTTACGACAAATTCATTCAAATATTCCCTTCTTTAAAATAATCGGTCACATGGATCCATGGTGTAGCTATAGCTAGTGAAGCAGGTCTGTCTTTAAAGCAGAGAGCAGAGAGTCCTGGGAACCACATATCACCAATAGCACCTCAGTGGTTATTATTATTATTATTATTATTATTATTATTCATTCATTCATTCATTCATTCATTCAATTGCTATTTCAAAAAATCTTTTTTATTTACCCCAGTTTGTACTGGGGTAAAACATTTTAAATATTTTGCTGGGGTAAATATAAAGAGAAAAGACAATGAATTATCTTTTTTTCTCTCAGGAAAGCTGTGCTCGAGTCCTCCTCTTCAGAGGGGCCAATAAAGAAGTAAAAAACTACAACAGTCAGACTGCTTTTCAGGTCGGTGCAATATCATCTTTGTCTTACAGCATTTGCACATTGCTTATATAGAAAAGCTCAGATTTACAAATGGGTGTAAGCTGGCAGATAGGTAACAATCAGAACTGATTTCCTGTAACAGTAATCAACCAAATCCATTGGTTTCCTTTAGTTGTCTAAGGGGGGGAGCTCTAACAGTATTTCTTTCTTTCTTTTACTTTCACCAGGTGGCTATCATCGCAGGAAACTTTGATTTGGCCGAAATCATAAAAGTCCACAAAGTATCGGACGTTGGTAAGTCTGAAGCTCTTTGACTTGCTTGCCATGTTCCATTTTCTTAAGATTAAAGATAACAGATAATTTTATATAAAGTTAGTCATAAATGTAAACGCACAGAAAAATGGACAATAAATGCAAAGATGGGACTGAAGAAAGACAAGGGAAGTCAGGGGATGTGCCAAGAATTTCAGATGCTTGTTTCATCCCTGCTTTGAGAGTGTCAAAGTGACATGAAAGGGAACTCTGCCATCTTCTGGGGATTTCAAATAATACTTTCCTTTTTAGGTTGCAAAGAAAAGTGATGTTATTTATGCATAAAATCCTTTTTTTTTACATTTCTTTTTTTTCTTCAAAATGATGATTCCATAAAATATGAGACATTTTAATTCAGATTCATTATGAGACAATTCAGTTTCAACGTCCTTTTTTTCTTTTTCTTTATACTATTTGAGGATGAACCGTATTTTGTGGTCCCTTTTTCTTTATACTAGAACATTTGAGGATGAACCGTATTTTGTGGTCATATGAGTTCAAACTATTGTCTGTTTAAAATGCATGATTTCACACCTGTGTCTCAGTACCATTCAGAGAGACGCCCTCTTACACCAGCCGTCGACGTGCGATACCTGGACCCCTGCCCTCGCCACGCTCCCTACTCCGCTCTGCAAGTGACAACAACCTGAACGGAGACCATGACATTATACGCAGTCAGGTTCACAGAGAAGCTCGTGGTCGTCAGGGTCGCTCCCCCGTGCCCTCACTACGCAGTCTGCCGTCCTTCGGTCAGCAGCACAGCAGCTTTGTAGAGGTATAACGGACAATAATTTTAGTATCTGTGCTCTCAATACAGCACTGATGACAATCAGAAAGACAGTTTGACAAATACTGATGAAATAATCTTCCTTGATGCTCAGTTTACAGGAATGAAATTAAATGTCTATATTCTTTTTTTTGTTCCTTTCTTTATTAGGGCCGTCATGGTGAGATGCCTGACAACAGCCTTCAGAGTACTGGCAGCTCCAGATCCTCACATTCCCGTTCACCCTCGTTACATCACATGCGTGAGGAAGACAAACCCATTCCCAGAAGGTCTCACAGTCACGGCTACCCACATGGATATGGACCTCATGGAAGACTCAGGTCTGTAAGATTCTTTTAACTCTTAAATATACAGACCTACTTCTATTTTTATTAGTTAGTTTTTATTAGTTAGTTATTAGGTAGGTTTATTGGAAAGTTTATATTTCGGAATATTTAAGAAATTTCCTAAAGATGACAAAAATCAAAAACCTCCAGTTTAGTGCAGATCATTGAACTCCAAAAATTTGAATAAATATTACGTAACTCTTCAATGGTAATCCAATAAACCAGGGATGTGCTGATACCGATGCCTTAAAGGCTTTTCACTGCAACCAGCTGTGCAGATTAGTCAGTTATTTTCTTGCTGCAGTTCAGTGTCTCATTGTCCTAATAGTTAGTTTGATAAAGTAGGTCAACATTTTTTCATTTTCACATAGGGGAGGAACACACTAGAAAGGCTTATGGTAAGATTTGTTCTTTTATGGTGAGGACAAGTCAAGACATCACCAGTGGAGGTGCTGTAGCTGTGGATACACTCATTTCTTAGTGATGGATATCCTAGTTTGACAGTAGTTTCTCTATTATTTGTTTAAATGAAACATGTAAATAGTAAAACCTCTTAATCCCAACATCCCTGGACATAAAACAAAAACAATTTACAGCAGTGACAAATAAAGACATGTTGACTGTAGAAATGTAAAAATCGAAATGCTTATCATATTGAACATTTCCTTATTTACCAAATACACCAACAACATTATAACAACAAAAGCTGATAAACAGGTATTCCTGGAGCTTGAAATAATAATGTAAACACACTATCACTGATCACCGTGGACAGAGCACGTAAGCTTCCTGATGAAAGCGGTATAAGCTGCAATGGAACTATTAACAAAGCACAACAGTGCATAACGTGTGACTTCAAACTCATTTCTAACAAGTCCCAGGCCGATCGATGGGAATAGACTCTGGTTGAACTTTGCTGCAGCCCCCTCATCGGTAGCCCTTGTGTGGCCCATGATCATTTTAGGATATGACCAAAATAATCAGTGTCTGGCATTTACAGTAGGTAACAAACTGACAGTAACTTATAACTACCTTGTTTTCCTCTCCGGAGTATAAGTCGCACCAGCAAAAAAATGCTCAATAAAGAAGGAAAAAGCAAATATAGTCTGTGTCAGTGTGAAAATAACGAAGATGTAGAGTTTCAGTGGTACAGGAGTAGCAGATACTGGTACACAAGCCTAGAGTGCCCTCTAGCGGCTGTCAGTGTGAAAATAACTAGCATGTGAAAATATGTATTTTAATAAATAAGTCGCATAAGTATAGTGTGACTTATAGTCCGGAAAATACGATGAGCTGAATTGAATACCATCACATGCTCCAGATCCTTTTTGACGTGTCTGCTGTTACATGTAAACACATATGTCCATATTTAAAAAGCAGCATGCACGGGTGGTTTTACAGTTCATAGAGATAAAGACAGACAGATGGGAAAGGACTAATAATGAACACAACAGGGACCAGCTAAGGCCTGCCAAGCTGCCAGTGTGTGAATACATCAGCATTAGAGGGACGGAGACAGTGGATGAAATACACATTTTGAATTCTGACTAATACCATCACAGTTCAAGTCAGTTTTAACAGCACACTTGATGTTTAACCAGTGTGTGCTTTGCGTTTGTTTTATGAACAAATATCACCTCAATAGGATTTTCTATTTTATTTTTCATGCTTGAGCATCTACACAGGTATAGCAAGGTAGCATTTGCTTTCCTTTCGAGGCTTTTTTATAAGGATAATCACAGCTGTATGTGGTATGTAATGTTGAGCACACATCTGATTCATTTGCAGATCTTACAAGTATTACATGCAGTGTCAGTGTGAACACTTCACAGACGCTGTCTGAAAAGAAGACTGCAATTACAGAAAGTCACTCTCTGTTCCCTTTAAATACCCGTCTGTCATTTCACTCCATCCATCTAAGAACCCCCTTTTTCTGTCCTTCTAGTCTGCGCAAGGACCTCTACAATAGATTGGGTAATTGTGCCTTGGAGATACCTTAAAGAGAACTTTTACATAAAAGGCACGGAGATAGTAAAAGAGAAAACACTAGTATCCAAAGCTAGAAGCAAGAAAGCTTCTGTGTCAAATAACCCCACACTATCTAGGTGAGAGGAATGTTCTCAGATGTTTTAGGCACTTACAATTAGAGATAGATCGATTGAACTCTTTCATGATACTGGAGACCTGAGATCCCTTCCTTTGAGGGGCATTCCACAGGCTGTCGTTGGCGATAGTGTCTCTGTTTACGTCATGTTGCGGAACGTTATGTTTTGAGCATTTGGGCTTAGGTTTTGGATCGAAGGTTCCTTAATTGTTTTTTTGTTTGATCCTGAAATGAATACCAATATTGGACCAATATTGATTCTGAGTATCGGATCGGGCCATCCCTACTTATAATTCTGATTTATATTTTGAGGGGTGCAGGGCATTAGTGCAGCTTTTCAGAGAGATTTAGTCATGATGCTTTTTAGCTAATGTACGCTAGTATATTTCAGTGGGTAGTGAATGAGATGTTCATCACTACATTTTTAATTATTACAATTCTTAATTTTTTTTTTTAATTCTTTGTCTCCCATTTATAGAATCAGTCATAGCTTTCATTCTTTGTCTTTGTCCCATTTATAGAATCAGTCATAGCTTTGTTGTTGTCATTTACCAACAGTAAGTTGAAAAAGCCTTTAAGACTGTTGGAAGTTGGATTTATTGGATGGTGTGTTGGATGAGCAGTGACGTACTCTGTTCTGACAGAAACACTACAAACCAGTTAAAACCAAAGCTTTGATCTTCTAAAGTGTGGTGGTAGGAGTGTGTTGAACTGTGTGCTCCAGCCCAGGGTTACATCTCAAAAGAGAAAACGTTGTACAACAATAGTTGTGCAGTGACCTGCTAAAGAAAAGTTGAGAAATGGGACATTGGCAGATCAGCAGTGTTGTGTTCATAACGTTGGCCCGAGATATTACGACGTCCACAGTGTAGGCTTTTGTTCACAGTGTTAGTGGTTCATTTAGAACAGGATGTTTATGTCATTGGCAGACGCACCTGTCTTTAGAGGTGTGAGTGTAATGTGTGAGGAAGGTGGGTGGAGTGTGAGAAAAGCTACACTGCTTTATTTGTGTATTTTAAATATATATATTCTTGTTCAGCAATTACTGCTTCGTTTTTATGTGCATTTCTACAATGATCACTGTGTACTTTTTGTTTTTTTTGTAACATTTTTATAATGAAAAAAAGATTGAGACGAATACCATACATTTATACAACTGACTGCTGTGTATAGTGACAGTATGGATTTATTTTACACATGAACTGGGGAAAAAGATTGTTTGGTTTAATTAGTCAAAATGAAAAAGTCCTAGTCTCACTTATTAGTCGTAACAACTAAAATGACCTTTATATATACAGACGTTACATGTTTAAGGTCCTTAACACACCTTGAGGAAACATATTAATGTTTGTTCATCTACAAAACTGACATGGGGTGATTAATGGAGATTGGAAATAATCAATAAAACACATTTTAAGAAAAATATGAAATATTGCTTATTTACCAGTGGTAAACCTTCAGTTTTATAAACCGTTATACAAACATAGCAAGTCACATTTAAAATAAGAAGAAAACACCTACGGTCTTCAGGCTAGACCCTTAAAACGTACTGTGTTTTGTATATAGCCTGCTGCAGCAGCCAACATCTCCTCAGTCAGTAAGGATTGAATGTGTAAAGCAAGAACCCAAACTAATGATCACAACTAGGTTTCATTGAGACTGGTCGTTACATCAATAAGTTACAGCTGAAAGGAAGAGTGAGCTTATATTTAACGAGTGACCACGATGTTGATCACTAATTTACAATGTCTTCTAACCAACACCTTAACAAACAATCTAAAAAGCCTCATCACTTTTGGCTTTACTACCTATTTGTAAAAAATGTAAATATGGAAGAATGTTCTTGTGTTTTTGTGATTTTGTGGTTGTGTGTGTCTTTGCTATAGACTTAGCGAGGGTGAGATTAAATATGGTTGATTGCCATCATCTTGTTTGATGTGAATACAGTTGTGTTTTTAAAACATGACTCAATTCGGAGGGAAATTCAGTTGTAGCGATGAGAACAACCGGATGCGTCACTAATGCTTAACTGTTTTATGTATATATATATATATATATTACAAATAGTAAGCTTCAAGCATACATGCTTCATTGTAAAATAGTAAAAATAGTAAATGACTGTTGACCGTTCAGTGGCCGGTCATGGAAGATCAGGCTAAAATAATCCGATTTCGATCACTGCTTGGTCATTTGGTGTATTTTTGGTGTCAGGTTGTATACGGAACCTTCTAGTAGTTGTTACACAGTGGCATGGTTTCAGTTATGGAATAAATGGCCAAAAGCGATACATTTTTCAGCGTTTAGTGTTTTCTATGACACAGCCTAATCTCCCTTCTCCTTCGACCCTCCATCGTGTCCCCTCCTCTCTGTGCTGCTGATGATCATTGCCTGTGCTCGGGCATTAACATGCGGCAGCCATCCTAGCCCCTCAGTCCCTGTGGTAATTGGAAAGCCGTCAACAAGACGTTGTTTTGATGGAGGGAAGGGCCAAGACAGAGAGTCTGATGGAGAAGGGAAAAGCCACAGCTGCATGTTAAAGTCCAGGGAAAGACAAAACAGGCTTGAAACGAGGACCACATGAAAAAGCATTGTTATAAAAACGAGAAAAGGACACAGAGAGATAGAATCAGTCTGTAAATAGGGTATGCAGAACCTGACAAGCAAGTATAATTATTGATTAGACGGATTTGAAGAGATTCCCAGTCAAGGAAATGGATTGCTAATTTCCCTCTTTTACTATTTGAGTTTCATTTACTCTCTATATAAAACTCAGAAAAACATGCCCTCGTGTATGATTGTTGTTCAAGGATCTTATAACAGAGGCAGCAAGATCCACATTATTGCATCTTACATAGCAGAGGGCAGAGGCAGTGTAGTGATGAATGAAGACTGGGCGGAGCAGAGCTGCTGCTGTATTATAATTCACCAGAGTGAAAGAGAGGGAAAGGCAGAGAAGGAGAGAGGAAAGGAGGGAGGGAGGGAGATTGAAGATGCAATGCCAATAAATGCTGAGAAGGACAGAGGTAAGAGAAAGAAGGAGAATGAAAGAGGGGAGGGGTACGTAGGAGAAGCAAAAGGAGGAGGAGTAACTAATAAACCACAGCTGCCCAGAAATATACAAACACATCAGACAAATGTGCACATGCTGAAACTCCCAGCTCGCCTCAGGCAGCTGTGGCCAACGCATGTTTGCAGCCAGTCAGGATGAGATATGCTGTGTTCCAGGGTTTGGTGCGAACGTGTCAGCGATATGCTGCCGACATGCTGTTAGTGGCATATGCCATGCTAGCGGAAGTTCAATTTTGGCAGAAGTGGTTTGCTGTCAGTGCATGTGCCTGTGAACACGGTGAAAATGCACATAGAGGGTTTGTGTTCTTTAAGCGTGAGCAAGCCTTCAAAGGGGAGGGGAGTTACGGAGCACAGTAACAGCAGCAGCAGCAGCAGCAGCATTGCCAGAGTGCATGTGAGTGAGTGTGTGTGTGTGTGTTTGTGTGAGTGAGTGAGTGGAGTGGTGGAGGGGAGAGGAGAGGAGAGGAGAGAGACAGACACGGCGGGACTTTCTCCCGGGAGTCGGGAAATAGACCTAGCTTTCCTTTCCCCAGCAGGGGAACCGAAATCCAAGGACGAGGAGAGATCTGCAGTCCAGTCTGGAGCAACTGGAGCTAAGGACACAAGAGGGATCTGTGTCCCTCCGAGGAGAGGGCCACTGCTGGATCTCCAAGTCATCATGTGTTTGACTACGGGTGGCTTCCAGGCGGACCTGACAGAGCCACAGGGAGTGGAAAACAGTGCCCTTCTTACCTTTACATTTTTCTGCCTCTGTATTGGTTAGGATGCAGGGTAGAGGGGAGGGTTAGAGGAAGGAAAGGCAGGAAAAAGGATTTTCTCTGTGCCATTAAGGAAAGAAGAAAGAAAGGGGAAGTGTCCTTCCCGTCATGACTCTCCCGTGGACTGACGATTGTTGATCACTAAGCTAGGGGACTGGTTTATGATTCCCTCGCTGCCCACTATAACAATAAGGGGGGCCACCGGGTTGTTGTCCCACTGACAGCCATGTCGGTGACCACAGCTTTCAGCTACCAAATCCCTGGAATCACCACAGTAACATATGTGTTTGTTTACAGCCCTGGTTCAGTGCAGCGAGATGCAAGCCCTCCTCATCATACCCCCCCAGCTCTGATCGGCCCCCGTGGGCCAAAAAGGAAACTCTACAGTGCCGTCCCAGGACGTACTTTTATTGTGGTTAAACCCTACACACCGCGGGGTGAGGGAGAAATCCAACTGAACCGTGGAGAGAGGGTCAAAGGTAGGATATCCGCCGTCGTTGCCATCTACCAACTACTACGTTTTCCCGCCTGACCGTCTCAGCTATCTAATCTTTCACTTGAAATTCATTTGTGTGTCGTTTGTGAGTCCATTCCATTCAATCTGTGATTGTCAATTTCATTCAAATTTTCTGATTTGTGCTTTGCACAGAGGTTCTGTGGCTTCGCTTTTATGTGTTTGTGTGTGTGCTTTTGTCTCCATCCATGCTTCACAACCAGACAATGACTGTAATGACGTAGAAGGTAAACTCCATAAAGTTCTTTTCATTCTGTGTCATATATCTCAGTGTGTCACCTTCACTGTTTGATCCAAAATCGTACTTTTTCACACTGTGTATTGCTATGAATGTAAAAGAGGAGCACATATGAAACAGAGAGCTTTGGTAGAACGTCCACAACACCTCGTATCACCTCCACACTGACCTAATACTCCACCTGTTCCTGTGTCACATTTCTTCATGAACAAACTCACAATAGTGTTCACTTGAAGAACTCACCTGAAGTACTCAGAACATTGGCACAGGTGCAGACAATTTTAGAACTGAAAAGATGTTAACACATATGTTAAAAACCATAAATCATCTGTTAAATCTTGGAAAAATAAACTTTAACAGCCATCATAAATCATCTTGGAAAAATAAACTTTAACAGCCAATCTTTTTTTATACATTTCTTTTTTTTTAATGGAAACGACCAGTGAAGTGCTGAAACAGATGCCGACCCCTACAGGAGAAACTATGTGTTTTTGCTGAACAATACCACATTGTTTGAGACTGTGCTGTAAACTGATGTTGGCACAAATGTTATCAGAAATGTGATGACTCCACAACAGCCACAATGTCCCCATCTTCTGAATGGATCTGTTGTCGTTGCCTTTTCTGTCTTTGTCGCTAAATCCATTCCCCTGCCGCTGATGTGACCACAGGGTTTTCCCGTTGGTTGATGTTGGTCAGATGGGAAAGAAGTCATGTTGTTGTCAGCACCATAGCAAAGTTATATTGTCCAACACTGACGATGCAAACAATGCCCTCTTTCACTTTTATACACTACAGTGGCATGCATATAAATATATGTATATATATGCAAAAATACATTTGAATGTCAGCTGATTTATCTGAGCAGGTCTAGTTATATGTAACCTTTACATGTGAATACCTGAGTCTTGTTGTGTATCACCTGTAGTGTTAGTAGTTTATGTGCTGTCTGGGAGCAGCAGTCACCTACCAAGGATAGGTGACTCTTTAATAATTAATACTAAACCATGTAGTTTAATTAACCTCCAGGCAACAATAAAAGGAGGAGATAAGGCAGAAAAAAAAGATGCAGAGTGATTTGTGTTACGTCTTCCTCACTCGTCCTTTTGCTCAAGGTTGAAACACAAATCGGAATCCCACATTCTGGGCTGCCAGCTGACGTTAGAACTGTGTTCACTGTGTGTGCGTGGTGCTTGAGAAGGTGTGGTTGGATGTGTCCTCAAGCTCAGGTTGGGCTTTACAAAATACAGTTAATGACTGACTGTGTTTCAGCTGTGGAGACATAATGATCTGTTTCAGCTCTTTCCAGCTCACACTCTCAGTTTACACTATCAGGATGATGGAAATCTTTGTGGATTCACTGTGTGTGCATTGATGCTACGTGTCCCAGTCCATTCTCACATAATATATAAGAAAAACATGTCATTGTCCTGTGTGACTATTAGGCACAGTGTATTGTTGCCAGATAAAAAGGGTCAGTCCGTATAGTTGAATATGGAAACACACTCTTAGTGGAACACAACAGTGGAAATATGGTTATTGCCTTTTTACTTAGTTAAAAAAAAAACATTTTATACTAAATAGTCCAAACTATTTCTAATTTTAGTGTGGCATTTTAGAAGACTTCAGAACAGTGGTTGGCTGAAAAAGTGATGTTAAATTCTGTCCTACACAAACATACTTCTGCCAACACACTCTATCTTTTAATTGTTTTCACAGGATAGCAAAGTGAAAAAGCATAGAAGTTGAAACATCAAGCACACAGTCCACTGACAGAACTTAACCCACATTACTGTGAACCAAAATTAAATTAAACTTCATTTAATTAACCTCATTTTTATTAATTACTGTATGTATTCATTATTAAGACCTTATATGAGTTGAAGATGAGGGGAAAGAAATCTGACGATAACAATCAGGGTCATAGAACGTTCATCTGCTTTCTAAAATTAAGAATCACAAAGTAGTTTGAAGTGTAAATAATGAGGGAGGACAGTTTAATTAACTCATTTATTAATTTGCCACCACCAGTAAAGACATTAATGTCTAACGTTTCCTTTCTCACTTTTTCACATACAGACTTTTTAGTACAGTTAGCGCAAAAGTACGCTAACACAGTTGTAGTATCATAATCTAGGACATAAGAATTTAATAAAGGGCAAAACGTTCCCAAAAAACAGCACAAACAAAAGAAAACAAACGTAGCACAATCCAATGTACGGCATATATCCAATAAATGTGAACAAAGAAGTCTTTGCATAAAGCGCCACATGACAACGTATACGTCTGCTCTGTCGCCAACCAAATTTGTTTTAACGCCATACGTCAGAATGATGGAATGATGAGACATAACAAGGAAACGTCATAGGCTCAGACAATGTGTGTGTGATTTAATACCATCTAAGAACCGTAGCTAGGCTGGTAGAAATTGTCGTATGTCTCTCGTTTTCAATAGGGAGCTCGGAATGAAAGTACCGACATTATCATCGCATGTGTAAACCACAAGGTGGCAACTCATCTGACTATTTTTACCTAGAAAAATGTGTTCAATTGTAAGCAAAGAAGAAAAAGAAATATTAAAAATAACCAAATTCCTTCTCATGAAGTGATACACTTAAAAACATGCTGGTATCACAAACACACAGGTAGGCCTTCTCTGAACGCCGTTATAAATCTCACAGACAGCCATGAAAATGAAACCAGCACAAGTAACGTTGAAAATAGACACTCACAACAATGATTAATGGGTTTTGGTTGAACCGAGTGTGTGTAGAATATTAAAAGTGGTAGAAAACATAGAAAGCCAGTTACACAAACACATACACACTTCACAACACACTTCTAATCACTGACTTAAAATGTTGCCATTAATGCTTTTCTGATATCTAACAGAACTATGTTGAAATGTATCTTTGCAATATTTTATGGAAAAAAAAGCTTAATTAGCTACATTCCAGATTTTTAGGGAAGAATGTAGGAAAATACATTTAGTCAAAAAAATACTATGATCAAATAAAAAATATAGATTCTTACCAAAATGAGGTCAAAACATCTGGAACATAATCATTTCATCTTTTTCAAAACAAACCAAACATACAGAATATAGAACGTACAGAGTTCACTGTCTTTTTTTAAAGTTTTAAATACTTAACTCTTGTTAACTATTACATTTTTTGCCCTGTGTTTGTGAGAAAACCTTTACGTGCGGTGGCTATGCTTGGGAGAAGAAAGAGATTGAAAAAGTGTCGTGAGTGTCCCTAGAATCACTGCATATCATTTTGTGTGTGTGTGTGTGTGGATGCTATTGATAATGGAGGAGTCAGAAGCCTCAGGCAAGGACATTAAACTCACAGCCAAGCTTGTTGGTATCCAATCTAAGTAGCAGCAGGGTGAAAAGTCCCGTCCGTGCACCTAGCCAATGT